GCTTTCGTACGTTCGAAATGTTATACCCCGTTCTTGAAAACGCCTCTGAAATGGATACCCCGTTCTAAATCAGGAGCTTCAAAATCACGACCCCGTTGGGTGGCACATACCCGTATAGGTAATGTATGGGAGTACTCCCCCCCCCGGGGGCCCGGCCATCAATTTACATTTTCTTGTAACTATTATCGGAGCCAATCGACGCTGAAGCTGGGCTTAATATACCTTTGTGTCTTAATTTGTAGATAAGCAATGCAGTAATTCTCAAGAACTCCCACATGTTTAACACTGAATGAAGCAGTTCGTGAAATGATTGATGTGACAGTTTTCCGTGTTCTCAAACAGAACGATTTTGAAGGAGAAAATTAAGGATGGAAAACAAGGAGCTTTTCATCTTATATCTTTCACGTCACCTAACAAGTCTTGACGTCTTTGCCTCTAGCTTTACAGCAGTGGCTGATCCAGACCCTCAGATAACGGAGGGGGGTGGCGGTCATGCATACCCTGAGATAAGGGGGGAAGCCGGTCTCAAAAAAAAATTTTTTTCAGCCCTTCGGGCCTCAGTTTGGTCTAAAACTAAGGAGGGGCCCTCCCCTAGATCCGCCACCGTAGAGTTCACCTGTGCCCAAAAGGGGTCACTCCTAATTTGCTCACTAGATTCAGTAGCGGACTGCCAGGGGAGGGGCTCTGCCTCCCTCCCCCATCTTATTTCTAGACGGAACTGAGGCCCGAAGGGCCGAAAAAAATTTTTTTGGAGACCCCCCCTTATCTAAGGGTTCTGGATGACCGCTCCCCCCCCCCCTCCCCCCTTATCTCAAGGTCTGGATCAACCATTGAGATTGGTTAGTTTCCATTGTCTAAATTACCTAAATTTAAAGACAAACTCCTTAAAGTAGTTATATAAATGTGACCAGTTTTTCATAACAAAATTATATAGGGGTGCCTTTTCCCTCAGAAAGTTACATAAAAGGGTTAGAGGGTAGACATCAATTTTCCAACCTTAAATAGCCCTTAATATGCCGCTGCTATTGGGCATTGTGTTGAGGTAAACAATCCCTGTCTGTAGTTAGTGCTTTCAGTTACCAAGTCGTTGTTTTAATCCTTTTTGTTGTGCAGTTGATTTTGGATACACCATACATATTAATTTTATCTAATTAAAGTTATATGGTATATTTGTTATTTAAGGCTTTTGTTTTTTTTTTCTTTGTTTTCTTCCTTGGTTTTCTTTTTCTTTTCTCACCAAACTTCTAAACATACCGTATTTATTCAAATAAGCGCCCAACCTCGAATTAGCGCCCACCTTGAATAAGCGCCCATCCTAAAGGCAGAAAAGGTTAATAAGTGCTCAGCCTTGAATAAGCGCCCACCCCCTCCTCCTCCCAATCAAAATCAAATAATCGCTCACCCCACCACACCCACTTGAGTAAATAAATTCCAATAGGAGACTTCCCCGAGGACGGGGTTTGCTTCAGAGTATTTTACAGAAACCTTGCTTAATGTTACTTCTTCGCGTTTTGTTATTAGCATTTATTGTTTCTGGAAAATAAACATACTTCACTTGCTGAAAATGGTGAAAATTTAATAAGCGCCCAGCCTCGAATAAGCGCCCACCTTGAATAAGCGCCCACTCTCAAGGTCCAAAAATTTAATAAGCACCCAGGGCGGTTAATCGAATAATATTAATGCGGTACTTATCATTTGATGGGTACAACTAACAGGTTTTATAGCACTTCTAATCCTCGGGGGGTGGGAATGGGGACTCAATGCAAAGGGAAGGTTGGGTAGAGGTATACTTTAGTACAAAAATCGTTCAGTCTCTAGCCTGCAAGTAAGCTCTCTGGGGCACTCTGACGCTGAGGTGGGAAAAGGAAGGAAAGTTTGCGAGTATATCTCTGGAATTTGAATATCTGCATAAAAAAGTCACTGCGAAAATTATGCTGATTGGTGGAGATGACATTAGTAATGACACCATTACCCTTGGCACGTGTTTTTCAATGTTTGTTTATATTCTCACGCGTTTCTGCTTTGTGCTGATTGGCGAAAATCAGACACCTCAGTTGACAGGGAGCCACAAAAGAATTGGAGGTGCAGGAATTCATATTCCAGAGACATAGTTGCAAGCTCTCCTTTCTCCCCCCACCAGAGTGCCCCAGAGAGCTTGCTTACAGGCTATTCAGTTTGCTACCCTGTTTAAGAAAAGAGACTTAGTTTTATGACCCTGATTCGTTTCATTTTGCCCACAGAATTAAGTACTTTTTCAAGCTAACATCATAACTAATAATTGATGGTACCACACATCATCGCCACCCTTTATACTCGTTTTAAGGATTCTGTTGCAAAAGGACACCCTGTTCTAAATGCTAAATAGTTACCAAATCTCAGCCCCCACTCCCAAACATCAAAGGTTAAGATAAGTTATGGGACGAGGCAAACCTGGAGGTGGAATAGGAGTGGGAGCTATAAAGGTGCAAAAGTGGGCTATCACTGAAGGGAGGGAGAGTGGGGTGACAACCTGGTCTCTGGTGTCCCAGGTTAAGATAAGTTATGGGAAGAGGGATCCTGAAGGCAGCAGAATACTAGTGCGAGCTTAGGTGCAAAAGTGAGCTATCACTGCAGGGAAGGAGAGTGGGGTGACAACCTGGTCTCTGCTGTCCTTTTAACAAAGAAAGGAATAAGGACAGAAGGGGTATTTTGTAGAATGCCAAATGGTCACTGCACACCAAATGAATTCTAAGGGGTTAAAGAAACCTGAATGAATCAAGTGTCAGGTCCTGCCCCATACCCAGACATCTCCATCTCAATGTACACTTGCACTGCATCACCAGTCCCTCAAGTTTCCTGTTCCCTCTGTGCAAAACACGAAGCACCTGTGGAGTATGCAGTTTCAGATTATTTTTCCCAGGAATGGCCCTACAAAATAGCACCTGATTCACTCAGTTTCCTAACCCTTATCACTAAACTTCAGAGTCATTCGGCATTTGGTGGCCATTCATCATTCTGCAAAATAGCCCTTCCGTAAGCAGGATAAAACAGCTAGCTTATTAATAATAAACTCATAATTACTATGCACAACTGCCCCCACCCCTGGGGCTTCTAAAGCTGCAAAATCACCAGCAGGTAAGCCAAGTTCAAAGTTGTGCACTATAAAAAATTTAATTCCATGCTATGTGTTTTTCTCCAGTGTTTTGAGTACCACCCCAAAAATAAAATAAAGAATTCCAAAGCTTCTGAGAGCCCAATCCTCGCTACCCTGCAAGAAGAGGTTTAGTTCCGGAACTACACGACTGACATGCGATGCAAATGACTCCTTAAATGCTAAGCTAAGCAAGAGAGAAACCTATGGTCCCATGGTAATTCTATGCCAATGGATTTATCAGCTCAGTACATTGATCATGCAGCCACTGAACTCGAAAAGATTTGCATGCAAACTTGCCTTGTTTTTATTTTTTCTATCAGATGATCAAAATAATGCTATATGCTTTGCAGTATGCATTTAACAATCAAATAGGACAAACAAAAAAAACATGACAAAAGAGAAGGAAGTAGGAGTCCAAAATAATGGTGACCAACATCAATTTCCTCCTAAAGATATCCATAATATTGGCAAGAGATTAGGTTATGAGAATTAATAAAATGATTACCAGAGAGAAAGTTATTTGATCTTTTATCAAATTCTCTCAACACGTTCTTTAAGGGAATGTATAGAGATCAGTTTGGAGAATTTGTATGTGGATATTGTGGCTTAAAGGGTTGATGGCTAGTCACCCAATCAGTTCCTAACCATGCCCAGCAGGGCTTAACTTGAGTGGCACACTAAGTATCACTACGCTTTGTGAGACACATATTTCTAGGTTTTATGGGCACCACTTAAAGCACTTCTAATGTGCTACAAAATTGTCACTATGTACAACAAGAATACAAAGCATGCTCAGGTTACTATTAAAATAACACTGTGCAAATTTTCTACTAATTTTCTACAAATTTTCTAATGCCGCAAAATTATCACTATGTACAACAACAATACAAAGCATGCTCACGTTACTAAACAACACTGTGCAAATTTTTTCTACTTGTGTTATCAATTATGCATGTTAATTAATGCATACTAATGTATTTCTCTAGTGTTTTGGGTACCAAGCCCATATAGGGGATTCCAAACTTTTTGACAGCTCTGGCACAGATACACTTTAACTCTAGTTTTCTTCTCTCTGAAAGAATCATACGAGCTTCATCAGTTTCAGCCATGTCCATGGGTGTTTTACCATCATCATTGACAAAATCATGATGAGCACCTTCATCAATCAAAAGCTTCAACATGTCAATTTCCAGATGGAAATTTGCATCGTTCCTCCCGGATGAGAAATTCACAGCTAAGTGTAGTGGAGTGTATCCTCTGTTGTTGATGGCATTAACATTGAATCCTGCATTTAAAAGAGCTTTCACTTCACCAATGTGGGAACATGATTTATTATGATGGTAAATGCGATGATAAATAGTATTTTTCACAAGCTGGTGCAGGAGGGTATTTCCGTCACGATCTCGAGGATTAAAGTTACAAAGAGTTTTCAAAACCAAAACTGCACTTGGCAGTTTACCATTTTCACCACTGTTAAACTTACTGATCATCGAAATAAGTTCGACCCATAAGGACAAGGAAGGAGGCTGTTTTTTGTTCATCATGGCTATTTGTACCTCACGTTCATAAGCAAGAATTACTTCATCAAATTTTTCAACAAAATCATCATCATTTACAAGATTAGTCTGTTTGTTCGATACTTCCTTAATTATGTCTTGTAAATCGCTTGCAGCTTGATAGTTGCAGTTATGGACTATTTTGATTGCATGCCTTTTCAATGCCAAAAACTGTGAAAAACTGTGCCTGTAAGAATTAGCAACCTTTCTAATTTGTCGAACAAGTAGAAGAAGATCAACATTGTTTATTCTTATGATTCTCTCTCTGATTATAATAAGGCTCTCCATGATCATAGCATCCCTTTTATAGCTTACTTTATCAAGTTCTTCAGAGTTTGACACTCTTTTCTGTTCTGATAAGCTTCAATGGGTTTCATTTGCTGCTTTAACAAAGGATGGGAAGGATCAGCAAACCTTTCTTTCATGCCCCATTTGATGTACCAGCATCCAAAGTCAAAACACTGCATCTCTGTCCCTAAACCTACCCCAACAGATGGCTCTAAAGCAAGGGAAGCTCCAAGTAGTTCAAGTGCATCAATTCTTTGCTCTTTTGTTATCGATGGTGCCCTGATTAGATGCTCTACCATTACTGTATTGCCTTTATTACAAGCTGCCAGAAGCGGTGTCAATCCGTGATTGTTACACAAATGGGATGCTCCACCAGTCAAAAGTGCACTAACAATTTCTTCACTATATCTATCACAGCAGTGGGCGGCATAGTGAAGAGCTGTGTCACCATTCTGATCTTGAAAATCTACATTAGCTCCATGTTCTATGAGCAAATGTACATCTCTCAAGCTACCATGACAGGTAGCTTGCATCAGAAGGGTCACACCGTCATTTCTTCTTGCATTAGAAACATCGACTCCACTTTTAAGAAGGAAACTCAAAATCTCAAGTGAAGATCTATCATCTGGACATGCACACCTCAGAGCAGACTTAAGGCAAGTTTCACCATTTCTGTCTTGAAGGTCTACATTAGCACTATTGTGAAGAAGACACTTTACTGCATTGACATTGTTAAACGCACAAGCTAGCATCAAAGCAGTCGTCTGAAATTCTGTGAAAGCATTTATGTCAGCTCCATGATTAATTAAACAATTTAAGGCATTAATATTACTTGCACTTCCGGACTTAGCAACATAATGAAGGGCTGTATAACCATATTTGTCTTGAAAATTCACATCAGCACCTTGATTAATAAGAAATGTTACTGCACCAAATTGTTCAGAATGAGCAACGATAATTAGCGGTGTGATACAAACCTTGCCATCTGCTGTCACTGCATTGATATCAGCTCCATTTTCAAGCAAGCACCTCAAAATCTCAACATTTCCACTAACAGCTGCAAAACACATAGGTGTGCCTTCGTATGTTTCAACAAAAAATGGACCTCTAATATAGCTAATTAATTTAAACTCTCCTCGACCTTCAACGTCTGCTCCATACTTCAGAAGTAATTTCACACAATCGAGATGTCCCTTTTCAACAGCAATTATTAAAAGTGTGACCAGTAACTTCTTAATCCTTGCAGGTAACAAACAGCCATCGCCACACAAGACGCGTGTAGGAGAACTCGGAGAGTGAGATTGCATGTGCTGCTCATCTACAGATAACACAGAAGTTCCTTCTGCTCGACAGAGCCTCTGAAGAACCTCATCGAGGAGCACGGCATCTCCAGATTTTGCCACGTTAAGAACATCTTGGTTTAAAGGAGCAATCTTTCTCTGCCGGAACCAGGGAAGAAGCCTATGCGCCATAGTGAAAATAAGTTACTCTTTTCAGAAAAACCTTCCTACAATTTTTTCCTGTTACATGCGGAACTTTCCACTTTCCTTCTCAAACTCATTAATAATTCATTAAGAAAATACAAAGGAAATTAATGTTTAATGAGTGTTTGGAAATCGGATGAAACACTGCTTAGTATTTGCATCCTTAATTTCTCCTTCAAAAATGATTTTGTTTGAGAAGAATTATCAAACATTCGACACAGTGTTTCATCACCAGATGAAACACCTTGAAGTTCGTCAAAAATACTCCGCTGCGCGTCGTATTTCCAACTCTCTTCTCGGTGTTTCATCTGGTGATGAAACACTGCATCTCATGTTTGATCACAGGGGGCCCACACAATCTGTTTGTGTAGCCGATTGTTATTATATAGTAAATGCACTGGATTTACCGTTTGCTTCATTTATAGCGATATATCGCTAACTATGTATATAAATCAATGATAAATAAACGTTGAATTACCTTGCCTGTGGTGTACAGTCGTCCTTTTGCCTCAAAAGCGGTTTTTTGAGCGATTTTGAACGAGTTTGAGTTCGCCGTTGACTGTTCCATATATAAGAAGGACCTTCTTATACATACTTATATACATAGTTAGCGATATATCGCTATAAATGAAGCAAACGGTAAATCCAGTACATTTACTATATAATAACAATCGGCTACACAAACAGATTGTGTGGGCCCCGTGTGGTTTGATAAGTGGTTTGATATATTACTTGACAACCTCGTTCCGATGAAGATGTAGCCTGGGAACGAGGTTACTCTTTGAGTGCTAGATCCCAGTCTCTATCGTTTGCACAGGTTTCAACCAAGAGCATACAAACGCAGGACGCCTACACTATCATTTGAAATTACTCCAGTGGCCTGAGTAGCAAGCGCTTGAGTTAATGCGCGAACGCTGGAACGAGAGCTATACAAACATTAGAATTATTCTCACAGTTATTAGGGTACTTTTATTATAGCCACTATCCATTATCACTATACAGACTCAGAGGAAATGAAAAAAAAAATACATAACCAAAAACGAGAAGTCCAAAGACTACTGCAAAGCTCATCAGAGCAACGTGTATTGTTTTGTTTTAACAATATTTCGGCTGGCCACACCAGCCTTCTTCAGGTTCACAGATGTTACTGAATTTGTGGTAGGAAACTGGAGAATGTCCAACATGCGCGCAGTTACTGCACTTTTCACAAACATGCGAACTCTAAAGTTCAAAACCTGCCTTCACAATTGCGTTTTTGGCTGCCATCAATCATAATTACAATCACAATCAACAAACCTTGAAACACAGAAACACAGAAACACACAAGACGGATCAAAATCCACCAATCACAAATCACAAACCATGACCTTTTGAATCCGTTAAAGAAAAGTTCTGTTTCCTAAGAGGTCCTCTAAGGTGAATGACGGCGGCGAAAAACGCAAACGTCAGTTGGCTTTTGAACTTCAGAATTCATATCTTCAGCCGATATTTGCCAACCATGGGAAAGGAATTTATCATTCAGTTCAGCAGACGTTCGTGGGGCAGGAACGCGTGACGAACCCTTTTTGTTGTGTTCCTTTGGGATGATCCAGATCAGGATCAGCGATCGAAGATCACTTAATTGGATCATGGTAGATCAAAATAATGAACCAGAGTGGATTCATCAGTTCATTTGATCTACCATGATCAAAGTAATCTCAAATCACTGATCCTGATCCAGATCATCTCAAAGGAACGCACCCCTAGACTGTGTAAATTTTCTAGCTGACTTAAAAGTTTTGCACCACAAATAATTTAATTCCATTCTATTGTTTTTCTCCAGTGTTTTGAGTACCACCCCAGAAATAAAATAAGGCATTCCAAAACTTCTGAGAGCCCATTCCTCGCTACCCTGCAAGAAGAAGTTTAGTTCCAGAACTACGCAACTGACATGCGATGCGAATGGCTTCTTAAACACTAAGGCCACTAAGCTACGCAAGAGAGAAACCTATGGTCCCATGGTGATTCTTTGCCAATGGATCAAAGACTTTTATTAGCTCTGTACATAGATCATGCAGCCATTGAACCCGAACTGATTTGCATGCAATCTTGTCTTGTTTTCATTTTTTCTATAAGATGACCAATATAATGCTATATGCTTTGCAATATGCATTTAAGAATCAAAAACAAAAAAAAAACATGACGACAAAAGAGAAGGAAGTAGGAGTCCAAATGGTGACTAACATCAATTTCCTCCTAAAGATATCCATAATACTGGCAAGAGGGGGGGTCATCTTACATGAGGATTCAGTTTCCCTCTGATGGCAGCCTTTTTGTATTGATTATTACAAATAAAGTTGTTATAAATAAATAAATTAAAAAAAAAGAGATTAGCCTGCATAGCAAGCGTTTCTGTGCAGTTTAGGAGTAAAGAACAAGGAAAAAGAGTCAAAGACCGTGCGAAAAATGGCGCGGTCAAAACCGAAAATTCCGTTCCTTGGTTTTTTCTGCTCCGAAACTAAACGGAAATGCTTGCTACGCAGGCTACCAAGAGATAAGGTTTTGAGAATTAATAAAATGATCACCAGAGAGAAATAATTTGATCTTTTATCAAATTCTCTCAACACATTCTTTAAGGAAATGTACAGAGATAAGTTTGGAGAATTTGTATGTGGATATTGGCAGGGGCTTAAAGGGTTAATGGCTGGTCAGCTAATCAGTTCCTAACCCTGCCTGGTGGCTGGGCTTAACTTAAGTGGCACCCTAAGTATCACTAGGCTTTGCGAGACACATATTTCTAGGTTTTAAGCACTTCTAATGTGCTGCAAAATTATCACTATGTACAACAACATTACAAAGCATGCTCAGGTTACTAAATAACACTGTGTAAATTTTCTACTAATTTTCTACAAATTTTCTAATGCCGCAAAATTATCACTATGTACAACAACAATACAAAGCATACTCAGGTTATTAAACAACACTGTGAAAATTGTTTCTACTTGTGTTATTAACTATGCATGTTAATTAATGCATACTAATGTATTTCTCTAGTGTTTTGGGTACCAAGCCCATATACGGGATTCCAAACTTTTTCACTGCTCTGGCACAGATACACTTTAACTCTAGTTTTCTTCTCTCTGAAAGAATCATGCGAGCTTCATCAGTTTTAGCCATGTCCATGGGTGTTTTACCATCATTGTTGACAAAATCATGATGAGCACCCTCATCAAACAAAACCTCTAAAGTGTCAGTTAAAAGATGGATCTTGCTGACAGCTAAATGAAGTGGAGTATTTCCCTTGTTATTGATGGCATTAACATTGAATCCTGCATTCAGAAGTAGCTTTGTGTCAACATGGCTGACTATTGTTGATCTGTCGAACACTGGACGAGGTGCAAAAATGTATTCCCATCACAGTCTCGAGAATTTAAGTTGCAGAGAGTTTTCATAAACAGTTCTGCATTCAAGAGTTTCCTATAGTCACCACAGTTAAGCCTGCTGATTATCCAAACAAGTTTCATTAAGGCATCACGCTCACGTTTTAAGAACCATTCAGGAACTTTCCTTTTTTTTGGACTCATCTTTCTTTGCATCTCAAGTTCACAACTCCAAGCAAGAATTACTTGATCCATCCTTTCAACAAGAAGATCCTCTTTTGCCAAAGTAGACCATACTCGCAATATATTGAAAATTATGTTTGTGAAATCATATGACACTTCTTCATGGCAGCTCTGGGCTATTTTGATTGCATGTAACCGCAATGAGAGATATGTTGAAAAATTATTTCTCCCGATGTAAGCTAATGAAACATTTCTAATCGGTTCAAGTAAACAACCTTTATTGTTGATTCCAAGGATTTTTTCTCTAATGACAAGGCTTTCCATGATGATAGCATTTTCATCACCTTCTATCTGAGCAAGCTCCTCAAGAGTTTGACTCTCTTTCCTGTACTGATAAGCTTCAACAGGTTCCATTTCTTGTTTAAACAAAGGATGGAAAGGATCAGCAAACCTTTCTACCATGCCTTTTTTGATATACCTGAGTCCATGCTTACAAGAATTCTCTGGCCTAAACTCAAAGAGGCCTCGCACCATTACAGGTAAACAACAAGAAGCTCCAACTAGCTCTACAGCATCAATCTTTTGCTCTTTTGTTATTTCTGGTCGATGGTTGCGTAAAAAATACTCTACCATTGACAAATCGCCATTTTCACTAGCTGCCAGTAAAGGCGTCAATCCCTGACTGTTACACAGTTGGGATGCTCCAGCATCCACCAAGATGACAGACATATCACGAGAATTTACGGCATAGTGAAGAGCTGTGTTACCACTTTTATCTTGAAGATCTAAATTGGTACCATTCTCAATAAGCAACTTAAATTTTTCAGATCTTACATCACCACTTCCTTGGAAGGTAGCTAGCATCAGGAGGGTCTGATTCATCTCATTTACTCTTGCGTTAATATCAGCTCCATTTCTAATCAGGGAACTTAAAATTTCACATGAAGTTTCAAAACCACTACAAACAAGGTCTTGAAGGCATCTTTGACCATTTCTGTCTTCAAGATCTAAATAAGCCCCATTTTGAAGAAGATAGTTTACTGCATTGAGATTGAGAGATTTAACAGCTAGCATCAAAGGGGTGAAGTTATCTGTACTCTGAATATTAAAGTCACTCCTATTATTAAAGCAACGTAAATGTATCGCATCAAACGAACGGCAATACCTAGCAACATAGTGAAGGGCTGTATAACCGTTTTCGTCTTGTAAATTTGCATCAGCACCTTGATCCATGAGAAATTCTACTGCATCAGTGTGTTTGTATCGCATGGCCATCATCAGCGGGGTGTATAAGCCCTCTGAGACTGCATTGATATCAGCACCATTTTCAAGCAAGGAACTCAAAATCTTGACATTGCCATTAACAGCAGCAACAAACAAAGGTGTACAACATTTGAACGAGACAGAACGATACGGAGGTGCCGCAAGTTGAAAATCTCCTTGACCTTCAATGTCTGCTCCATACTTCAGAAGCAATTTCACACGATCGAGATCTCCATTTTGAACAGCAAATATTAACGGTGTGATTGTGTGACCTTCAGTATTTGCAGCTGCATTCAAATCAGCTCCACTGTCAAGCAAGCAACTCAAAATCTCAACATTTCCATTAACAGCAGCAACAAACAGAGGTGTGCAACCTTCAAATGAAACAGAGTGAAATGGGTGATCTTTAGAAACATATTTGAAATCTCCTCGACCTTCAATGTCTGCTCCATACTTTAAAAGTACTTTAACACTTTCAAGATTTCCACTTTGAACAGCAGCTATCAACGGTGTGATTGTGTGACCCTCAATATTTGTACTGAACTGCATTCATATCAGCTCCATTGTCAAGTAAGTAACTCAAAATCTCAACACTTCTATTAAAAGAAGCAACGAATAAAGGTAAATGTCTGAACATGTCATCTCGACCTTCAATGTCTGCTCCATACCTCAGAAGCACTTTCACACAATCGAGATTTCCATTTTGAACTGCAACTACTAAAGGAGAAACAAGAGAGCTAGACTTTTCTTTTCCAGGTAACGAACAGCCATCAAGAATGTACTGCTTATCTAATACAAAAACTCTTTCTGTAAAATCCAACATATGAAGGACCTTATCAAGACGCACAGCATTTCCAGATTTCGCAGCCTGAAAGACCTTTTGTTTTGGCTCAGCGGTGTACGTCCATCTCTGCCGGAACCGATAATAAAGCTTATGTGCCATAGTGAGCATGAGTTTCTTCTTTCGGAACAATTTTCCTGCAATTTATGCCTTTCTCTTCAAGGATTAATTTTCCCATTTTCAGGGAGATCGAAAATAGAGCGTTTTCTTTGGTATGCGGAACCAGCCACTCTGAAGTGTCAATATGACACAGCTATTTTGAAAACAGAAATGCCCTGGGACCAACCTGGGACCTGGGAACGGTCCTGCGAAAATCCTGGGAACGAGCTGGGAACTGAGGCAAGGTTAGGCAAGGTGTCACATTAGGTGTCACAGCGTTTTGGGCATCCCCGCGTTTTGGGCATCCCCTTTCCCAAATCCCTAGCGTTTTGGGAATCCCCTTCTCATATTACTGTAGTGTTTTGGGCATCCCCCGGTACCCTCCCGGGATGCCCAAATCCCTAGTGTTTTGGGCATCCCCTCCAAAAAAAATGCTGGATTTCGCGGGAAAATCGAAAACGTTTTAGAGATGGCTTCCGCTAAATATAGAAATCTTTTCCAGTATCTTTAAAAAAAGAAGGCTTATCCGGAAGGCTTTACAAAGCAAAAAAACGACTCTGCGAAAATTTGCCAAAAAGGTCGAGTATGACTCAAAATTAGAGTCCTTGTTCTACGTGGCCAAGGAGAAGGATGGCACAGCGCTTCGACGACTTGTTATCACCGAGGAAGGAACTGAGCGAGGGTCTTCGAAGAGTACCACTCTGCTCCTTTCTCTGGACACGCCGGCCGCGATAATACTTTTGCACCCTGTGAAGGTTGTTCCCAAGGTGTGGTTCTTGGTTGGAATTGGTTTAATAGAAGCCCTACTACATCTCAAAACGGCAACAGATTTCTTCTGTCTCGTAGGTGCAAGAGGCCTCTGTATAAATTGTGTGACAGCCTTTCGTGTGTCAAGTAGCGCTGCGGGGTTAAGTTGTACAGGCCTCAAATGTCATGCATACAATGAATTCAACACCGCAAAACGCAGTTTTATTCATGTTTGTCTTTTGATTCCTTTGTTTAGTATTCTTGTTTTCGGCTGTTTGGAATCAGACGATCGCAGCTGCCGGCGATTGAGGCATTTCTCGCTGGTAAACAGTTCTATTAAATAAAATTGAAGCTTTGCAAACAATGAAGCGTTGTACAGCGAAGCGATTTTATGCGGTTGTAAATTTCAGTTTCGTCATGTTTTGAGCCAACGTTTACTGCCTATGGGCTTTTTTTTCTGCGCAATAAACCCGGCGAAACGGTGTCAGACGATATAATTCTAACATGCGTCTACACTATTCAGCCGTAAATTCATGATTGACAATCCCGACTTTTCCCCAGTCTGAAATAATTTAGGCAAAGTCGAAGCGATCAGCGTTTTGGGCATCCCCGGAAAACGCTAGGGATATGGGAATGGGGATGCCCTAAACGCGGGGATGCCCATATCACTGTGACACCGGTGTACGTCCATCTCTGCCGGAACCGATAATAATGCTTCTGTGCCATAGTGAGCATAAGTTTCTTCTTTCGGAACAATTATCCTTTAATTTCTGCCTTTCTATTCAAGGTTTAATTTTCCCATTTTCAGGGCGATCGGAACTTTGGTATGCGGAACCAGCCATTCTGAAGTGTCAACGACACAGCTATTTTGAAAACAGAAATGCCCTGGGACCTTAGGCTCGATTACCAGCCGCTGTTCGGGAAAATGAGCCCGCACTCATCCCCCGAAAGAGCCTCTCTTCGGGGAGGATCAAAGACCGGACCCGGGAGACGGTGGAAATCGAGCCTACTGGGACCTGGGATCGGTCCTGGGAAATCCTGGGAACGAGCTGGGAACTAAGGCGTACGAACAGTTCGAACTGTTAGGCGTAAGGCGTACGGGATAAGCTTGGAGAACTGGGAGCTAATAGCTGAGTCAATCACAGCGGCTGGTTCCGCATATCAGAACCCCAAAGAGAGTCAAACTCTTGAGGAGCTTGCTCAGATAGAAGGTAAAGAAAATGCTATCATCATGGAAAGCCTTGTTATTAGAGAAAGAATCCTTGGAATAAACAATAAATTCTTACTTCCATTGATTAGAACTGTTTCTTTTCAACACTTAGGGAGAAAAAAGTTTTCAACATATCCCTCATTGCGGTTACATGCAATCAAAATATAGATCAGAGCTGCCAAGGAGTAGCCTCCCACGCAGGCGTTTTTAGGGGAGCTCGTATACGACCTCCCCTAAAAACGCCTGCGTGGGAGGCTACCAGGGAGGAGCTTCATGTGATTTAATAGACATAATTCGTAACGTATTGGCAGGATGGTCTACTTTTGCGAAAGATGACGTTTTTGTTGAAAAGATGGACCGAGTTATTGCTTATGCACTTGAGATGCAAAGAACGATGACAAAAAAAAGGGTGGTTACTGAATGGTTCTTAGCATGTGAGCATGAATCCTCAATGAAACTT